AACTTAGGGAAGCCTTACCCAGAGGGTCCATGTACCCAATAATTAGGTACTTGGGATTTGGGTAATAGTAATTATAGTACAGGTTTTGGGTAAGTATACGATTGTTGGGTACTTGGACCCTTAGGGTTGTGAGACATGTGAGCCCTCGCCATTTTTGGCGGGGCCTACTTCGTGTTTCACGGGACATGCAAATGACCATGAGCATCCATAGAACGCCCCACAGATCCGGGGTCAGAAGTAAAGCAAGTACACCAGCGTTGGGCTATATAGGGTTCTATGTTAGTTTGGGCGTAACAGAGACATGGACGTTTGGGTAAGTTCTAAGGAGAACCTTGTCGTTGGCCCCTTGAACCTGCCTTCAACGCTAGCGGCTGCTTTCTGAATGAAAGCTATAGCTCTAGGCTTGAGGAGATTTAGGGTTTAGGGTTTGAGGGTTTTAGGGTTTCAGAGAGGAGTCAGGGATTTAGGGTTTAAATCCATGCACTGAGGACGCGTTCTTCAGAGTGTGATGTCAATAGGGTTCTGGTGGGGATTAGGACCTAGACATCGCGCACAGGAACGCTCATATGACGTGCTTCTCAGGAGCTGTGCATGGACCCACCAATGGAATTCCATTCTGTGTGGTCAAGTGCAAGGTCCAAGGCAATTGTGTTGTGTTTGTTGTGGCAGAAACCTTGTTCGGACACTCAACCAACACACGGAGTGCCACACAGCAGAGCCTAGTTGAACCGGCAACACTGTTTCACAAGACATCAATGTTTTTGAGATGAGGATGGCCGATGGATCTTCATCAAAAGCCTAGAACACAAGAAAAAGTCAAATCAATCCATACAAAAAAACAAAGAACCTCAAACCCGCCTTCCTACCCAAACCCCGGGCTGGAATGCAAAAGCGCGCCCCCCACACCACGTTCCAACACCATACCGGAATCAGGGACTGGATGCTTACGCTGGTTTCTACATTATCTCGTATTCATAATCCCCCGAAGCCTAGACCTGAAACCCTACACTCTGAATCCTGTCCCACTCCCCACTGAGCACCAGGGAGTTGCCGGCCCAGCTACTGCCCCGTAGCCACCGCCATAGGCGCCACCGCCAGCGGCGCCACCGCAGCCACCGTAACCACCTTGGAGCCAGTTTGGGGTCCAGGTGGTCTAGGGCTTCTAGGGCTCAGGGTCTTTGGGGTTAAGTACTTTAGGGCTATATGGGAATTTCCCAAAATTAGGGGTACCTTTTTGGGGGTCCCAATAATAAGGACAATAAAATTTGGGGTCTATATTGGAGTCCCCTTATTTTGGGAAACTACCATATGTTTGATGGAGAGCTCACCGGCAGTCATCCTCCTTGGTAGCCTGGATCAGGCCTCCTGCACATGTAGACCCGGTATGCTATAGTTCGGCCCATGCGTCCGTGGTGGTTCACAAACCGTCGTCGCTAGTCTACCTAATGTTTAGTAGGGAAGAATAGAAAGGATCTGCAAAGGACTTCTTGCATATTTGGCTACTCTTTACTCACCACGACAAGTTCAACGTGTAGCTCCCTTAATTTGAAAGAGACGTACCCCCCAAACCTATAAAGTGCTAAACCCATCTAGTGTAGTCCCCTACCAACTATCCGGGAGAACATGGTGCATTCATAGCCGCATGTGGAGTGACCCTAAACTTAGCCCACATTACCCCAGGAAGAAAAAAGGATCCTCTTTTCATAAATATAAGGAATCCCATACACCAAAAAGTATAAATGATCCCTACCATTGATCCAGTAAAGGTACAAGGCAAGTTGCAGGATTGCAGGAGTCCCTTTCAGGGGCTCTATACTAATCATTCAAAAAAGTCCATGTTGTTTTTCTTTTCCTCCAATGCCTATACCCTAAAGCCCAAACCCTGTAACTCCCCCTCCATCAGAACAATGCCCAAATGGGTAGAGCTTACCTAGGCTTGATTCAGGCCACAGTTTTTGGCTTGAGGGGTCAAGTAGGGTTATAGGATCCCATGATTCTAGCAAGCCAAAGGTGGCATAAGACTGCACCTAGGCCTCTGCCTTTTTCGGGGTCTCATGCGGGACTGGCTGAAAGTGAGGCCCAGGACTTCACCCACGAGGCTAAGCGGAATCATATCCAGCCGGAGGCCCTAACGGCCCCTTGCTGTCTAGCTCCTTTCCAGTCCCAGGACTGTAATACCCCTAGACCTAGAAGCAGAATGTCACGTTTGATACGTCCATGCTACAAAAAACTAAAAATTAATTCGTAAGGAAACTACAGAAGAAGACGTGCGAACCGTGCAGACTAGGTTCCCCAGTAAACCCTAAATAATAAGGGTACCCTTTTTCCTACTATTCTGATTTAAGAAGGAGACCCCCAAATAAAAAGGGTAAAAGGGTACTACCGGGGTACCTGGCAGAAGAAGTACGCGAAGACTGCAACTCAAAGCTGAAGCGCGCGACAGACGTCTATGCATGTGGAAGGCCTTGATTCAAATCCAAGATGCTCAGCAGACCTATAGTCCCCCTTAAGTAGATAGAATATGGCTTGGGTACATTATAATAAGATCCCCATATATCCCATATTCTATCTACTTAAGGGGGACTATAACCCTAAACTTGAAACAGTTTACTTCAACCCTGAGTGGTTTTCTGCTCCCTTAGTTGTCCGCCATAGCCACCGCAGCCGCCGCCATAAGCGCCGCCGTAGCCTCCACCATAGGCTCCACCTGGGTGGGTAGGGCTTGGGGTTTGTGAAGTTTAGGGTTTATGGGGTTTCTAGAGTTTGGGGCTTACAGAGCTTTAGGGTCTATATAATAGGGTATAAGATTTCCAGAGTTCAGGGCGTATGGCTAAGGGATTATAGGGTTTAGGAGTTTAGGGTTCGGGACTTAGGGTTTACGATTAAAATTTGCGGGCGTGGGATCTGGGGTGTGAAGTTAAGGTGTATGGGGTTTCAGACTAAGATACAAGGGTTTGGGATTAAGTCCTGAGATTGAAGGTTGCAGCGGGCTGCGGGCTTACCGTGGATTCCCCTACACCCCCCCCAAACTACCCCCACAGGCTCCCCCTTAATTAAAGTTATTTCGGGATAGTTAAGTGTACTTAAGGCTAATCAAGGATGAGCCTAGGCAGAAAGTATTGGGGGGCAGTCAGGGAACCCATGACTGGAGGGTTTAGCCAGGCATGTGACCGTTCTCGAAATACGGGATCCTCACGGACACTCCTAAGGACATCCAGGGATGGGAAGGGTGGGTCCTCCTTCTTCTGGATTGCATAAGAATCGTTTTGAGAAACTCGCATATCACCGCTATGCACTTCCCCACGCCCTAATCCCTATGGACCGGGCTCAGGCTCTATCATTCCCTGCAGGGTATGGCTTGCGGGCCCTTGCACCACCTCTGGACTTCCTGCTTGAAAGTTCAGGAGTAATTCAATTCTGAGGGTTCGTACTCTCATGTGTGTCAAAGCTGGGAAAAATTCTAAATAGGAGAACACCAAGAAGAACCATCCATGAACCTCTCAGAGGGCCAGATAGAACAGCTGATAATGCACTGCTAATGAATGCGGAGAATGATCATGTCGGTCTGGAAAACAGTAGCAGGTATGGTAGCAACAGCGACAAGCGCCTCCCACCTCCCTGCTTCCACTGTTGCCGGACAATTTCAACCGAACACCGCGTCGATGATTCTGCCTCCTTTCTATAGGCCTCATCGGAGCAGGCGTAGAAGGTGGTGACAGACGCGTTCTTCCGCTTCATCTTCGCGTCCGACATCCCATGCCTCACCACTAGCGGCTGGGCTTCGCGCATTCTGACATGTAGACCGCTCTGCGGCTGGTGCCCAAATCCGTCAAACTCTCGTGCTAGTGTTTTTACAGGTTTGGATCTGGAGGTATAGAGGTTGCGGCAGCGGGGCTTACGGTTCAATGGAACCTCGCCCGCCACCCATGAATTTTCAAGTATTATGCAGGGGTTGATGCTTCATACGCAGGGTACATCTTCGCAGGCAGCTGTGCAAGGTAACTTGGGATCTTTAATAACTCTGTGTGACGCGATCCCTCCAAACGTAAAACACACTCTCCACAATGTGCATTCCAAAAGCTGTTGAAACATACCTCCTTGTCACGATGAAGGAATAAGGACAATTTCAATACGCTTTTGTAACTTCGATTTACGATCTCTTCGAAGATTGGTCTGAGCTACACGCCGAGGGCGATAGATGGCTACATGAATTCCGGTGATGCAGGATCGCTTTTTTTATTCTTGACAGAATGTCCACATGGAGCCACCGCAAGTTTCCCATGGAACCATTGTGCCTATGTTCCGATGTGCCTTTCACACCACAAAGTTCGTGTGGGAAAGAGCCCTCCAAAATGTCTCAAAAGAGAGAGCACTCTGCTTGATAGCCCTAAGCTCCAAAGCCTAGGATGAACTAAACACCCGGCAACACACACTTCAGCAGTCCTGTTTTGGGGAAGCTTCTACTTGTAAATTTCTGGGAAGGGGTCAGAAGGGCATTGTTCCTAGCTCAGAAAACTTGAGTCCATACTATGAGAACAGTAGGTTCTCCATTGGGATGGGGCGCATTCCTTGCAACACCCTATCTTCCCCTCAGGTACTCAGCTACTGGCCACAGCCTCCCTTCATGCCGCCACCAGCACCTTTGCTAATCCCCTCCCCCCCTGACAAGCCCTGGGTAGGTGTGCTGCCAATACTAACGTTTCCGCAGTGGAATTGCAAGACACTAGGGATGTTACCTGGTTGTCATTGGGGTTGTGTCCACAGCTAAAATGACGCCCCCAATTCTGCGCTGGTAGTAAAGTAGGAATATCTCTTATGAGGGGTCCTCGCACCGTCCCAAACAATTACAATATTACCCAGAGGGTCCATGTA